CTCTCAAAAGGCATTTCAGTTTTTTTCTGTAATAATCATTTCAGTATTTTGTTTCACTGTTTTTAAATTTTTTTCAGTTAATTGTTTGGGAGTTAAAGATATTTCAGATGCTGTGGAGTTTTTATTTTAGATATCAAAAGCAGATTTTTTTAAAACAGATTTGTTAAAACAAAGGTCATAGCTGAATTAACATCTCCCAAATAATTGATTTGCTCTGCTTTTTTTCAATTTTTGAAAACTCTCTTTATAGATAGATGATAGGTTTTGTTTTGAAATATTCAAAGCAAATTATCATGTCAAAATTAAATGCATATTTACATTATCATTCATAACATCAACAGAAAAACAAAGTGCCTTTACATTGATGTGCATGGAAGGTGAATTTTGTCTGCTGTTAACCCTAAGTATAACCTGTTAACCAGAGCTGAGTTTATTACCTATTGCAGTTATGGAGGACAACATTTTGACAGTCTTAGAATATCCAGAAACAGGAGCTAGTTGGGTGGGTGTGGGGAGGTTAGTGTAGGGCTAGGGATCTGGGCTTGAGTGGGTCTTCCAATGTGAGAGCCAGCTTAGAGTTGGGCATATTTCATGATATACTATCTTAAGATTGGTGGACAAAGAGGCAGGCATCTTGAAGTTAGTATTAAGTAAACAGGTGTTTGATAATTAAGAAATTTGCTCAGTTTCAAGAGCTTCTTATTCAGATAAATTAATTTTCATGGAGTTCCTGAAGAAAATTGTATGCTTTTACACTTATTTTCGTGGACAAGAACATGTAGTAACGCAAAATAAAATCTTATACATGTAGGCTGCTTTGGTTCTTGGTCCTGACATTTGGGGTGGATATGGAGGCCTCAGTTTTCAATTTCATTAGAAATTGAGAACTGAACTGTTCTGTGAAGTGCTTTACGTGGAAGAGGTAGAAAATAAAGGGTTGCATTTATCTGAATGATCTTATCCTAAAACATACTACTATGTTTTCCCTTTCTTTAGATACATTAAGGAAAAGGGGGATAGAAATGACAGTAATAATAATCATCTAGGGAGACAACACTAAAAATATATTCTCGGAGCTCAGGATGTAGAGGCTAGATGGTGATTCTGTCTTGTCACACCTTTTCATTTTTAAAAAAACTGACTGAATCAAATATGTGTTCAGGATAATTGACTCTTAACTTTCAATGAGCTGAAAAGGAAGAAAGATTATTTAATTAGAGTATTGTATAGACATGCATAATACTGTGTTTTAAGAATATTTCAAGTAACGCTTACCTTAATCTTCCTGTGTTAATGTACTCTACTCATTGCTCTTATTCACTTATATTTCACTACTCAATATTAAGCAAAATATGACATGACAATTTTGAAATCTAGTTCCAGAAAGTAATTATTAATGCAATAACATGAGTATCAAAATGGGAGATTCCACTAGTGATTATAAATCAAACATTAAAGTAGGATAAATATGAGACCCAGAAGACCACATTTTAAAGACCAGGAAAAAAATTAAACAGAATTAATAAAGGCAGATATTAGATGCTTTTAAAATAATTCATGCAGGGGCACCTGGGTGGCTCAATTGTTAAGCGTCTGCCTTCAGCTCGGGTCATGATCCCAGGGTCCTGGGATCGAGCCCCGCATCGGGCTCCCCACTCTGCGGGAAGCCTGCTTCTCCCTCTCACACTCCCCCTACTTGTATTTCTCGCTCTTGCTCTCTATCAAATAAATAAAATCTTTAAAAATAATTCATGCAGAAATCTGTATTAAATTTTAAGCTAGGGAGTTACACTTGATTTAAAAAAAGTTTCTCCTTCTAATTCAACATTGAGAGTCTAATAGGAAAATTTACAAGTGTGCAGATCTAAAGGTATTTATAAATCTCAAATCTCTATAAATTTTTTCACGTCTAAATATTTATTCAGCAGAATTTACTTTTAAAATATTAAATTTAGTTTTTATCTTCTTAAATAAGTTTCACTTCCTTCTCTTTTGGTTCTAAGAACAAAAATTTTCCTTTTTCTACACCTGGTACAGTCTATCACTGGCTTAGGATTTTCTCTTACTGTGAGACTGGGGGGCCATACGTCACTCATCCTTTCCATTGAAGATGAACCATCATTCATACTACAGTTGCTCTCTGATTTCTTCTTCCCTAAGCCCACAGACTTCATCCCTGTTTAGAATTCTATTGTGCCCTTGCCCCCTTGAAGAAGACCCACTCATTGATGGCTTTTGGCTTTATTTATCTTCACTGTGCAGTAGAAGGGGGAAAGTCCTTTTTCTCTTAATTTATAGTGAAAATATTATAAGGATGACTTGTTAAGACATACTCTTTGGCTCTTCTTGCTTATCAATGATGGCAGTTTCCGTCAATATCACGAAGTGGTCCAGAATTGAGAATGTCAAGAAAAATAACAGAGGTGTTGATTGAGGTTGGACTCTTTGTTGAAGCAGCATTAATTGAGAGCAGGAAGACAGAAGACCAGAATTAGCTGGCAAAACCAAATGAATAACACAGGCGACAAGTGTTGCTGTTGAGCTATGATCATAAATACAGGATAGAAAAGAAAGGGAAGCGAGGAAAGGAATATAAATCAAAGCAAATATTTATTATTTGTGTAGATCTGTTATTTGTTCTACATCACTAGAATAGACAACAGGTAAAGTTAATGATAGTAGAACCCAGTTTATTTATAGCTGATGAAAGTTCAGAAGGTGATACAAGGCCTTATTTTAAATATCACTTAGGATTATCTTTCTGCCCATACAGTCTGCTTCAGATAATAACTTGAAAATCTATCGTTGTCTCTTTTCCTCCTTTCTTAAAACATCATTTTCCCCCTGATCCAACGTGTCAGTGTACCTATTGAGCTCAAGAACTACTGGCCTCCTGTGCTATCCTTAACTTTAATAGGAGAGTCATATTGGACTCCCAGTCCTCTTAAATGAAACACCAAAAAAAGATCAACAATGTTTGCTAGTATTGATCCCTTCTCATCATATAATTTCTAGGTGTAGCTTTTTGTAATATTGAAATAACTAGAGAACAAGTCAGAAAATTTTGTTCTATATGAAGTGTCAGACATTTCCATAAAATCTGCATAACCCACCATGCAGTACTTGTTCATGCTTATGCAAGTGAAGACATTTGGGTTCTGAGAAATTGTGTCTTGTATAACTTCATTTACTGAGGATAGTGGACCCAAACTGCTTCAATATTGCCTTTCTTCTAAGAATGGGCAGAGGGTTAGCAAGGTACAGTATCATGTAAAGGGTTAGAATTGAGTAAAACTGGAAAGATTATCTTAAAAAAAAAAATTCAAGTCTGCTTTTATTTGGGTATCTTCCCTTTAACACAACCACATACACATACATGTATGTGTAATATAATATATATGTACATTACACATGTGGAATATATAATACATATACATATATACATATATGTGTAATTTATACATATATATGTATAATACATATATAGAGTGTAATATATATTATATATTGTTTAACTCCTTTGACCAAGAAGCAAGTGATGTTCTGTAAGTTAGAAGATAAAAACTGATGACTACTTAGTGTTCCAGCCAGTGTAATTCTTTATATTGGCATTACTACATTGGCATTACAGTATTTATATTGTGTTTATAAATAATTGAATTTATTTGTCTTCAGACTGGACATATCTCTCTTCTACCCAAAAGCAATAACTACTTCCTATCATTGGATACATTTATATTTCTTTCATTTTGTTATTATTCAGCTTGAAAATATTTAGATCCTTTTAGATCCATATTATTCATTTTAAAAAGGATCATTATATTTAATTAGATTATTTAGATGATTTCCAACTCTTAGTCATCAAAGAAGTATCAAACTTTACACATACCATCTGTGTACATTCAGTGGAGTAGAAATAAAGTAACATACTTTTCAGCAAATATTGAGATATTTCTTTTATATTTATTTAGGAAAAACAACATTGAATCTACCATGAGTATTTAGCTTGTTTAATATTTTCTATAAGTTAGATGAATGTGAAAATATATATTTATATTTAACTCCTGGCAGTTTTCCCTTTTGTTGATACTTTCATTCTGAGGAATTATTCTTTTTTTTTTTAATTTTATTTATTTATTTTGAGAGAAAGAGATAGAGTGAACATGAGCAGGGCAGGGGCAGAGGGAAAGGGAGAAGCAGACTCCCTGCTGAACAGGGAGCCCTACCCAGGGTTGGATCCTGGAATCCTGAGATCATGACCTGAGCCAAAGTCAGATGCTTGACCAACTGAACCACCCAGGCGTCTGTGAGGTATTCTTAAGCTGATTTAATTTGCCGACAAATGTGGCTGAATTGAACCAAAATGAAGATATCAAAAAATAAATACAATGAAGACATCATTTTCCTAAAGTTGACAAAGATGATTCAGGGGCATGCTAGCAGTCAGAGATTTTGATCTGTGCACACAGGCCAGATAAAATATCAGGGACAAAATTCCCAAAGCTAAGGAGAAAGGATGGATAGGAATTGAGGGGTGGTAAGACAGGAGACAGGAAACGTCTTCATGAGTGTGGTCTGGTAGGAGTAGCTTAGAATTGTGTGGCGTTACGGTAAACCGGCAGCCCTTGTTGTCCCTCTAACTGGATCATGCATCAGTAACAGTAACATGGAAACTGGAGGCACTTCTTTGTCCCTTCTTTCCATCTCAGAATGGGCAGCAGATTTTCCATATTTTAATTAATTTTCAGTTGTTAAACCAGAAACCTGAGTAGCCTCTTTCACTAACCCTGTTTTCACTGCACAATAGACCATGTGCTAGTCAGGCTTCCTGATCGCTGAAGAAGATTAATGTGAGCCAAATATAAAAATTTGCTCAGGTTATTAAAGGCTAACAGTGATTGTTCTAATGTGTCTGCTTATTATGCACATTTTCTCCTCTACAGTTTATTATATTACCTAGTCGATGTGTCTGTCAATTGTTAATATCTTTGTTGTTGCAGATACAGATGTGGTGTATAAAAGCGAGAATGGACATGTCATTAAACTGAATATAGAAACAAATGCCACCACATTATTATTGGAAAACACAACTTTTGTAAGTAATGAAAAATTAATTACTTTATGCATTTCAGTATTGTTTAGAATGGTCTCTAGGTTCACATAACTTTTTTCTTCTTCAGCTCCAGCACCTGGAAAACATTTCAGGTAAAATGTTAGGGCTTGGCATATCATTAGAATCAGTACATCGATTAAAAGGAAATGCCCATGTGCCCATCTGCTTCATGTCTCCCCATTTATCTTCATGTCTTCCCTTTTTAGTCAATGAGTAAATGTTTCCAAGAATAAAATTTCCCTAGAATGAATATTTCTTCCAGTATTTCCTATGAAAGATCACTCATACGAATGTCAAGATTAAAAAAAAAAATCTAACACAAGTTATCACAACATTTTTCTCCCTCTTTTCATTCTTTCTGACTTCTAATTTTGTTGTAGTTTTCTGGATCAAGCAGCAGGCAGACTTTCTAAAACTGGCTTTCTGCTGGGGCTGATGTGTTTTACTTTTATAATTTAGGCTTCTACCATTTTCATTTTACTTCTCCAGAGTCGCTGGTTAGCCTGACAGTGTTTAAATAACAGAATGTATTTATTTTGCTCTTACAAAAAAATATGAATTTTGTCTTTCTTGTAAATTCAATCTTCTTAAGGTGGATTTACCTATAATTACATACAGAGTGAGTGTTAATGAATTAAGTTTTGCAGAAATTCAAAATTTAGCTGTCAAATACCACTGAAAAACAGTGTGTAGTTATTCACTCATGGTTTTATATAATCAAAAGTTCAATATATTGCCTATTAAATGACTTCATAGGATACAGAGAAAACATACTCCAAGCCCTCAGAGGATTTTCCATGCAAATTAAATCAGTGAGCAAATCATCAGCTCCCTTTTTTTTTTTCTTATTTCTACTTGTACATTTGGAATAGACATCAAGACTTCAAATTTTTTATAGGATGGCCAGGTGAAAGAGATGGACTGGAACCTTCTGTTGTTTAGTGTTTTTATATATTAAGAAAATATGATCGTTGAAATCAGAAAGTGCTTATATAGTTAGGCATCTATTAGGCTAAATTAAACCAAACAACTGATGTACTTTAGTAATTAGAGCAACAAGTAACAGAATAAAGACATTTTTGTTTTTAAACTAATTGGTTAATTCACAGATATTAGAGAAACAGCTTCTCTGAATGCAACTCTTTATAGCCCTTGTGGAATGCCAAGAGTATAGAACCCATATTGCTCAATTTCTAAAAATACGGATTTCCTTGGGGCAGATAATACTAACCCTAATGAAAAAGTTTAATAAATTTTAGAGCAGTGTCTGTTATTTCTTAATTGGATGGTCCTCTGGGGTACTAGAGAAAAGGCTAAGGAATCATCAAGGTATGTTAAAATGAATGGGAAAAAAAAGCCCTCAGTAGGACAGAAGGCAGAAAGCAGGAATTGGTAATAAGGAGAGAGTATGGTGAAGATTTGCTGATTAAAGTCAATATGAATTGATTTTCAATAAAATTAGTTTTGGGGGAAAAAAACTACATTTCTTATTTTTTTTTTATCACACAGTATCATTTTTGAGGTGGAGTATAGGCCTTCAGTGGCCAAGCATTTAAGTTAGGTATAGACATTTCAGTACATGAATATTCAGTTATGTGATAATTCCTTATTGATCATTCCCTTTATACAGGTTAATGAGGTCTTCACTGCGGTCACAGATTATGTATTTTTTTTTTCAACATTTGGTCCTTACTTCCTTAGCCTCTATGAAACATCAAAAAATAAACAAAAATAAATAAACTCTTGTGGCTTTACTCCATTATCCCAGTTCTTTTGTTGGTCCCTCACACCACCCCAGCTCACCTCATTGTAGTTTCTCCATGTATTGATTAATACCACTTTATCCTTGTGCGTGTGTGCTTAATCTTTTTAAGTCCTTTTGAGGTCTATTTCTACTCTCTTTTATGTAGGCAGTGACTCTTAATTACTATACAGTCATATTTAGCAAATATTCTAATTTACTGATCTTCTAAGATTCATAGGCTCCCTAAAGACATTTATCTCACAACACAGATAATTAAGCAATTTCTAAGTCCTAGAGGTGTCAGAATTCAGTGGGGGTGGGGGAGGTGCCTGGGTAAGGGATTGGAGTATGGCATGTATTTGCAACCAGTTAACTCAAAACTGTAAAAAATAAAAAAATACAAATAACATGATTGCACATCTCTTCAGAGGAACTCATTTAATCATTTCCTCCCCACTCCAAGATAGCATTATTAAATGTAGTTGTCTTTTCAAAGCTCATGCTAGGCTAAAGTCTGGGTTTACTTTCTCTCGAAGGCCATTCTGTTGGAAAAAGATCTCTTACTAGAGCATAAGAATTTTACTCATACTGCAGATTTTTCATTGAGCAATTACCAATATTTTAATTAGAACAATAATTAATTGGCTAAGATCACTATAAAAGCTTTGTAATAAAAGTGCCAAGTCAATTAAGAAAATAAACATATTATAGAAAGTGATAATAGCCTATTATTTAGTAGGACATATTTTTCTAAAATGTGACTGTCAGTTTATTTTAAAAATTAAGATAACACCACATTGTCATTTCCCTCTTAAAAACATTTTAAATATGAATAGTGGGTACTTTTAGCTATGTAATCATGGTTAGCAGACTCTATGAGTAACAATAATGTTGGACATGGCTGTCAAAAATAAAACAAGTAAATCATTTTCCTGAAATAATTGTCTTAAGGCTTCTTTTGGATTCAAGATGGGTAGCTTTCTAATGGAGGAAATTAAAGGGTATATAACTTTTTGAAGAAGAGTTATGCAAAAGAAGTGCTTTAGCCCCAAAACTGCTCTTAATCATTTTTAAGTGTTTGAAATGTTATCTCTTAAAGCCAGAACTATTTCAAACAAAACCTCATTCACAGTGACATAATGAGGAAATATTTCATACGTATTAGCTGTATGTACTCTTTCTGCTGTCAGTAAATTGAATATTACCAGTGGTTTTAGCAGAAAACACCAGCAGCCATAAACAGTTCTATCAAATCACTTTTTGAAATTAGGAGGGAATTGGAAACAGGGGTCTAATGCACTTATATGGAAATGGGTGACTGATGTATAAGACTCTTAGGTCTTTTTGATTCTGAAAATCTGCAGAGCTTTTAAAAACATGCTATAAAAATAGCCCAGAACAGAGGAAAGAAATTCATATTTGGCAGCAGAATGATTCCAAGGAAAATGTTAGCTACACATTTTGGGGGTCCAACTGTCTTTTTATAGTCCATTCCAAGATAGTAGGTTTGATTAGAACCAGGGCATATTTATTGACTTAGGCATAGAGATGGTTTGCATGCCATCATAATATTTGTATTTATTTTTAATTTGTTCTGCCATTGGGTATGTGGGGGTGGAGGGAATAGATCCAACTCATTTTACCACCACAAAATCAAGGAACTTATTTTCTGATTCATGTTTAAGGAAATAAGTGCCATATGGAAAAAAATTCTGTGGTACCAGTAAATACTTATTGGATAAAGGCACCCAAAATTTCACATCTTAAAACTTGAAATAAAGGTAAGCCCTTGGTGATGAGCCCTCAGTGTTGTCTTTAAGATGAATCACTAAATTCTATACCTGAAACTAATATTACACTATATGTTAACTAACTGGAATTTACATAAAACCTTGGAAAAAAATTGAACTACAGAAAGGTTATTAGAAAGTTCTGATTGGCCAAATGGTTTTACACGTTGGCTGCAATCATAGAGAATTTGTTGTTGTTGTTGTTGTTGTTTTTTAAGATCTGGCTTTGGCAGTATGTGTTGGCATCCCAGTCCTGAATGGTATCAGTAGTGTAGCTAATATTGATTGGCCAATGAAGTCACAGGAACTGCACACTTACACAGTTGCCGTGTACACAATACAGTATCTTTCTTTAGACCAGTGGTTCTCAGTTGGGGGTAATTTTATCATCAGGAGACAATTGGCAACTCTGAAGACATTCTTGATTGTTATGGCTGGAGGTGGGGAGTGTGCCATGGTCATCTAGTGAATAGAGGTGAAAGATGCTGTTAAACATTCTACGATGCTCAAGACAGCTCCTTACAACAACAACAAAGTTATCTAACTGAAAAAGTCAGTAGTGCCAAATTTTCAAAATCCAGGTCGAGGCAGGGATACCAGGGAAACCATGAGATGATTCAAAGGTAGATTTTTCAAGGTGAGATCAAAGCAGTGGTTCTTTTTGTCAGAGATTTATTTTATTTTATTATTTTATGTTAATCACCATACATTACATCGTTAGTTTTTTTAATTTTTATTGTTATGTTAATCACCATACATTACATCATTAGTTTTGGATGTAGTGTTCCATGATTCATTGTTTGCGTATAACACCCAGTGCTCCATGCAGAACGTGTCCTCCTTAGTACCCGTCACCAGGCTAACCCATCCCCCCCCCCCCTCCCCTCTAGAACCCTCAGTTTGTTTTTCAGAGTCCATCGTCTCTCATGGTTCGTCTCCCCCCCGATTCGCCCCCTTCCTTCCTCCCCTCCTGCTATCTTCTTCTTCTTTTTTTTTAACAACGACATGGGTGAAACTGGAGGGTGTTATGCTGAGCGAAATAAGTCAATCAGAGAAAGACATGTATCATATGACCTCACTGATATGAGGAATTCTTAATCTTAGGAAACAAACATCATTAGTTTTTGATGTAGTGTTCCATGATTCATTGTTTGTGTATAACACCCAGTGCTCCATTCAGTACATAATCTGAGGCTTCCAGCTTCATTTTCTTGAGACATATTTCTTCTTTTTATGGACTGATCTGTGAAGAAGACCAGCAGTCATGAATATAATCACTTGGCCTAGGATTCCTCTTCTTTGGGGATAGTGCAGAGTACAAGCTAAAAGTATGACCACAGTTTTCTTATAGTTTTCTGGGGGTACTTCTAATTGAGATATTTTGTTGTTGTTCAGGCAAGTTGGTATCAGTTACTGGCTATTGTCAATTCCTTTGACTAAGAAACAAT